TATATAAGTATTATTAAAAAATGGGGGCCGAAAAAATCATATTTAATATTTTGATCGCCTTCAAGAATAATTGCCCAACTTTCGAAACCTTTGAACTCAATGTGTACGTAGTACGTGCGTGTATCCGCTGTGGTGTCATTCACGTGAATCTGTATAATCGCGATTATATTTATTACGCCATTGATTGCAATCGTTGATAGACATCTCAGTGGACCTTAAAGGTGAATAACATCGAACGATTAATATTCTATATAATAAGGTCACATCGTTTTTATTGATTTATTATACTTGGAAATCGAGTGACATTAAAAACTTTGGTTAACATTCTCATTTGTAACATTATAAATTATATCAGATTTTCTCACAAGAAATCTTGTGATTTTCTTATTGTCTTTTTTTTTTTTTTATGATGAAATGCCTCACTGTTCGTTCAGATTCATTAATTATATTTATACAAGGTTTGTTGTTCGCATATTCATTATCCAAGCCTCTGGGTGGGATGATGTTTCAGGGAGGTTTACAGGGCAGAAGCCAATTATCCGATTTTTGAACTTCTATAGGAACCAAAAATTGCATTAAATTAACTAATGATGGTGAAAAGATCAAGTATAGGCAAGAGTGTCCTCAAGGTGAAAATGTGGTAAAAATAGTGTTTGAAGGGAACGAAGGGTCTACCGCTAATCGAAGGTCCGCTGTTGAGTTGACGAACTCGAGCGAATCAAGTTGCACGAGAACGATCTTAAATAACGAAGACAATGGTTTTGCCGAGATCTTGGATGGAAACATTGCCAAGGGCAATAACGAATCAGGTAGACCTTTTCCCTTGAATTTTGAGGTTGCGCATTTGCACTTGGCTTCTAATCAAACCCTTTTTTAGACAAAAACTCAACGCTTCCGCGTGCCGGCAAAAACGCAACCACGGTTAAGATAAACACCTCAACAAATGTTGTTAACATTTCGGACAATGCGATCACTTTGGAGGGTTTTACGAATCAAACGCCTGTAAAAAAAAAACCGATCACGCTTAAAAGGCGCCCAAGGTTATCTCACAGGCCAAAGATAGTATGCGATATACCTGAATGTAGAATGGAGTTTAGCATTCCCGCTCATTTGTCACTTCACAAATTAACTCACAGAAACAGGAAATTATACGAGTGCTGGAGATGCAATGAGCGATTTGAATACCAATCAGAACTCATAAGCCACGGAAGTTCACACATAGGAAAACTATTATATATTTATGAAGGACGTGATCATTCGAATTCCAGAAATGATGCTTGTTCGGCCAACCCGAAAAGAAGTAGAGGAAAAGAACATTCCAGTAACGTTGGAAGCAAGCTATTAGAGAATTTTCCGCCTAATAAAAGAAGTCGTATAAGTTAACGTACGATTCCGGAAGGTATATTGATTCCTCGTTTATTGTGTATATCCGCTATTTGAAAATAAATGCATTTTAACAATTATATTTCATTTTAGAAATCAGCCGAAAAGATTATTAAAAATAAAAAATAAAAATAAAATAAGATGTATCAATAATAAATTCTATTTTCGCGTATTTTCATTGGAAATGTGATTCCGTAGTCGTAATCGCGAAAATTTTCTCAATTATAAAAGTCGGACTTTTGTTGTTTAGTTTAAATGTAAAGTGAGACGCGTATATTCCATAAAGCATCGTTATTACTATAACGAGTTCACACAATGCAAGTATTCTCTTTGATTTCGAGTTAGAAATAATTGATTGTGATGGTAGACCGAGGAATTGTGTCGTCAACTCTTCAAAAATGTCGAAAAAAATATAGAAACAAATTTTAACTTAGTAATTCTTTATTTTCAGAATAGATTTGATTTTTTATCATGGGTACAATTAAATTTTAGCCCAAAGCTAAATTGATTTGGAATTTTTTAATTAATGCCAAACCAGTACTAATAAATAATAATGAAAATTATTTTTTTTTTCAGTGGTTTCTACTTTATCTAATTTGAAATCAATAAAATCATTGTCAATTGCTTGGGATAACCAATTGTCAAATTAAATTTATATTAAAAAAAAATTATGTATTGTAAATATATTATTTAAATAAACAAATAAATGTATGCTATTAAAATTAAAAAAGTTTCAATTTTCAATAATCTTTTTCAAACAAAATTTTACATGTAAAATATTTTTCATAATGATGATTTATAATCAATATTGATTTCTTTAATTACATTTCTTAAATTAATATTTATTAAAAATAATTTATTATGGTATTTAAATTATATTTATTAATTTTATTAATCATAAATATACTGTATTATAATCAAAATAAAATTTTAAAATACAATATATATATTATTAAATAAATTATAAATTTATATTATATATAAATTTAAGGATCCTAACCATCAACTGTCTTGGAGAAAACTGATACACAAAGAGACAAGAAATAAAGTAAAGATCCAACATTATAACTGTCAGAACAATGAAAACAACCAGGAAACAAATTTAATAAAATGCTCAGGTTGCTTGGAGGATTGTATCCAAGAAAACAGCTATATAATAAAAGAAGATATAAATAAGATATACACGATATCATATCTTAATGCAAGAAAAGATACCAAAAGAGTCCAGATGTTAACAATTCCAAGACCCAAGATTTCACTAGAAAAAGCAATCAAAAGAGCAATACAAGATGATTGGATTATAGTACAGGATTCTATCTTACCACTCCCTTCTCAGTGCATCAGAATAGACTATGTGGATATAGAAAATTGAAAAGAAACAATCATCAAAACAAGTATTAAAGAAGGAGTATATCAAGATTACTTATTAGAAATACTTCAGCATAATCAAGGATTCAATCAAAAGCTAACTTTCTATTCAGATGGCTTACTTGTCGATCATGAAAGTGATACGATGAAAATGAAAGCAACATGGATTCAAATTAGTGAAGCAAAAAAGGAAAGTAGATTTCAAAAGGAAGTAAATAATTGGCCCTCATCAACAAGAGCAGAAATAATAACAATAATTATAATACTTCTAATAGTTTTAATAGATAGCACAATTGAAATCTTCACAGATAGTCAAGCTTGCATCTCTAAAGAATATCAGTCAAGAAAGATGACCCCCAAAAAACACATAAAAGATGGCTAAAAAATAAAAACTGGCTATTATGGGTACGAATGATAGAGCTGGTAAAAAAAAAAAACCTATATCTAAAGCTAACCAAGGTCAAGGCACATTCCAATAATCCCTATAATGATAAAACAAATGCTTTGGTCAAAGAAGCCCTCAACTTACCCACAATAGAATGGAAGAATCTCACTTCCTACAAAATCCCTACGGAAATCAAGTGGAAAGACAAAACACTAGATAATCCCATAAAACAATTTATTAAAAAGATAAATAATAAAACTATGGTATATCAATGGATAGCACAGAATAGAACTGAAAAGAAATGAAGTCATCAAATCAAAAAACAACAAGAATACACTTGGGATCTAGCATGGGAAAGAATGAATGGGCATACATAAGACACATCTTTCAAAAACTTATAGAAAAAGAACTTCCTCATTAAATTAACAAACGATGAGCTACCAACTCTGAGTAAGCTGGCAATAAGAAGGCCAGATCAATATAAGCAAGTGAAATATATTGCATATGGCCTCCATAAAAAAAAAACAATTGATCACCTGCTAGAATATCCAGCTTACAAGGAACAGATGCAAGAAATATGGAACAAAGGTCTCGAAGGGGTTCTAAAGAACTTTAGAGAACTCCCACAAGAAAGAAAAAAGGAAGCAGTGAGAAGAATATGAGACTAATAATAGAGGATAGAAAAGAATTGAAAGAAATAGATAAGTGGATATCCAAGTTGGTGGAACAAGCTTTGATAACTAGTCAAGATACATTGAGCTTCTTTGCAGGATTGATAAGAAGCAACCTTGTTCTCGAGATGGCAGATCTTAGATGCCATGGTAAAAGAATTGG